TAAAAGAACTCCCAAGGTCCCTTCAAATCCTATAATTCTATAAACCTGGTTTCTCAGATTGAATTAAATATTTTCTGCAGACCAAAATTTTGGGAAGGATATTGTGAATGCCCTTAGTCCAGCCTTCTTAAAGAAGGATGTTTTTAAAAGCTGCTATTTTAGCTGCTCAGTGAGGGCACATCCATTTCTCAAATCTCATTCAGATTTTCAGTCATCAACAGTCAAAACAGGATTCAGTGAAGATAGAAAAACATTTGAATTAGGCACATGTTAATAGAAAGCTTATCAGTGTACTGGCAAATGATTAATATGATGAATGATCCCAAACATTTTATGGTTGATCTAACCAGGATAATACTGTTGATAAATGGAAATTGACCAGGAAAGTGAATATTATGTTCATTCATACTTTTAATCCATAAGGAGAAAGGAGAGGAAAAGCCCAAAGGTAGGAACTTTTCTCCATAAATGGTGGGCTTTCCAGAAGGAACTTAAAAGGTTTACATCAGCTTTGTGGACAATTATTTACATCAAAGCACACCCATTTACTTCCTCTTGTTATGTCAGGATTAACAGAAGGCTAGAAACTAAAGCTAGAATCAAGTAAATTTAACACTACTATAAGGTTTTTAAATTCTACTGTACACATGCTGCCAATAAAAACATTATATCTTGATGCTTCCTTTCTGGTACTTATTCTAAGTCCTCAATGCTATTTTAATGTTTTGAGGGATTCTGAGCAAATGAAGCCATCCACTTTCTGTTCAAGGTAGAATAAGTTCTGTTGCAGTTCTTGTTCAGCTTCCTTCCTAATTAGCTCCTAAAGCAGGTCAGGTTTTAGAAGCACATACAATTAGCTCCCAAGAAACCTACTGCCAGGCTTTTCCTGCAGTGAGATGGTGGCCCTTACAATGATACGTGGAAGGCAATGCTAGTCAACTTCAGTAAGACTTTTCTGCAGAAAAGTGTTAGATTCTTAATGGTTAGAACCCACTAGGATTGCAAAGTAGGGATCCTTCTCTTTCCACATCTACGCACCTAGTCCATTAAAGCACCCCTGTATTTTGTAGACTTCCATATTAAAAAATAATAATTAACCAGTCAGTTCATAAAAATTAATCCAATTCTCAGAGCAGCGACGTCTTTTGTCAGGATCACACAGAATCCAAGAAAGAGAAGTTATCCAAAGCACTTCTTCCAAATCATTGTTTAACTGTCCACAGTCCTAGGGTTGATGGTCTATTTGCAATACCCTTTGGTAACAAACTGACCTTCAAGGGTAGCTTTCAAAGAAAGACAAGTCACTTAGTTCCAAGAACATATTAACCGTAGTTCATTTTATATGCCTTCCACAAAAGCCTCTTAAATCTTTCACAGTTAACCAATCTTTTAATATCACCTAATACTGGTACTACTGGATCCGATCTGCAAAATCCAGATGACCACTAAGTGATAGTAACGTGCTATGCTGCCATCTATTGGTCATCCAGATTCCTGCAGTAGTTTGGGATGTCCTAAAATTAGCATTACCCTTAAATACAAATAGGAACTCATAGGAGTTGTTTAGGTTTTTGTTCCTCAATCATTTTTTGCTTAGGTTTGTAATACATTAGGAATAGATAGAAGCACACTACATGGTGAATAATTACAAGATGCACTTTACCAACATTTTTGCTTTCTTGAAAGTGCATTTCCCCCCTTATATAACCTAGGGGTGTCATGAAACAGCCCCTTTTCAATATGTGATATACAAAGTACTGACTAGAGCCTTGTTTTACTTTAGTTAGGCTAGTGTGGATGAGAAAAGTGATCTTTTTTAGTCTCATCTCCCTATCCAACTGTCTTGTTGGAAGCTAGAAGATAAATGCCTACAACCACAGGATAAAGACATGAGGAATATGCAGTTTCATTCATGTTTGTCCTCTGGGGTATACAGGTAGTCTTTGACTTACAACCACAATTGGAAACAGAATTTCTGTTGCTAAGCAAGGCGAATGTTAAACCTGAGTCTCTGACCTTTTTGCCACAGTTCAGTGAATCACTGCAATTGTTAACAAATTGTGTGGTTAATTGAATCCTGTTTCCCCCATTGACTGCTTGATGGAACCTGACTAGGAAGGCCAGAGATCACGTGACCCTGGAACACTGCAATCCTTGTAAATACATGCTGCTGCCAAGCGCTCAAATTTTGAACACAAGACCTTGGGGAATTTCAGGGCTAATGTAACTTCAAATGGTTGCTAAACAAATGGTTGGAAGTCTAGAACTACCTGTATAAAAAAACGTCAGGATATATACCGTATATCTATGAAAACAGTGACAAAAGAAACAAACAAACTTGGCTACTTCTAGTCAAGTTGTGATTATCTTATTAAACAAATGCTATTTTGGTCCCCTGGATGCATGTTTTTTATCTCAAAGCGTTATTTTCCATGAGGAAAAAATGCACCAGTACACAAACCTGTTTTTCTGATAAATGCCCAGACTCGAACCACAGACTAGACCAGCAGTGGTGAACCCTTTGGGTTCTGCATGCCAAAAATTAGGAAAAATGCCTACCCTGACTCTGCTGGCAGTCAACATGCTTCCCCTGAACAAAAATGAAACAATTCTTTATGTATTCATTTATTGCCAAAACAACAAAACAAAACAATTGTATGTGTGTGGTCCTCAGCATCTGCTGCATGCCACTTACCTTCGGGTAGTGTCCTCTTTCTGCTGACAGACCCCAGTGACCTACCCAAGGAAGCTGTGGGTGGCACAAGGCCTTGAAGAGGCTCTAGAGCAGGAGTAGGCAATCCTGGCTCTTTTATGACTCAAGGACTTCAAGGATAGCTGTTGCTGGGTATTGGTGAATGCTGGCATTTCATCCAAAATATTGTGGTGTGTCACCTTTGACACCTATGTCCTAGGTTTGCTATCACTGGATTAGACTACAGTAAAGGGCTCACTGAGAAGAATATAAGTGTACTTAAAACTGCTGTTAAGAAGATAGAAAGTCATTTATTATTATTTTTTGTTTTGTTTTCTGGGCTTTATTTCTTTACCACTTTTTATTACTTTTCCTGATTCTTTTCCTCTTCTATCCAACATTTGTATTGTTTTTGTTAAAAATTATTCAATAAGTTATTTAACTTTTATTACTTGGCAATGCCAAGTGACAGCAGCATCATGAAGGCATATGAGAAGCTGGAGAGGCCTGAAGGAGGAAGTGGAGAGGATGTGGAAAGTAAAGACTAAAGAGGTCCTGGTGGTGGCAGGAGTACTGGGGGTGGGTGACTCCTAAGCTGGGAAAGTGGCTCAGGGACAGATCCCGGGAACAACAGCACAGCTTTCTCTGTCTAAAACAGCACTGTGCTAGGTACAACTAAGATACTGTGCAGAGCCCCCAAACTCCCAGGCCTCTGGTAGAGGATCCGAGAAGATGCATATCATCTACAGGGGTAAGAAGGGAACTTTTAAAAAAAATAAATAAAAGGACTCACCAATGCTGTGCTGCACTGGTGTTCGATCCAAATACTCAGCATTCCCATTTCTCCTTATCATCATCAAAAGGGAGGGAGGGGGGGGAATGGAGCATAAAATCCCCAGCTAAGAATGTGATGCTTTCAATCTTTAGCAGTAGCTTAATCACAATTTAGTCTATCATCGGGTCTTTCAATGCATATGGAGGAAAACGTATATATGTTTTAGTACGTGTGTGCATATGCCATCATTAAGGTCATCCAAACTCACTACACACATGCATACACATTCAGGGAGTAAATTCCTACTTCATAGTTTTCCTTTTAATTCAAGTTATTTAACTGCTTCCCCCTCTTAATTGTTGGCAAGACATAGGAGAAGACTAGTGGACTTCTGCTTCTGTTCAGGTCAAATAGAACAGAGAAGGGAAGCCAAGTGTAGCAAATTGAAAGCAATACTGCGTGGGTTCATGCCTCATTCCATGCTACCACTTGCAGGAAACAATATTACTTGCAAGTTACATAGAAGCAAGAGGGCTGAAGGTTTCTCAATTGCAGGAAAGGTTACAAGAACCTAGTGGGTTTTATGTGCAAGGTTCGTACCTTTAAAGAATAAAAAAACTACAGTCCAAAAAGATTCTCGTATCAATTACATTGTTAGCTGAAAATCAAGACAAAAAGCTTTTCTGATTACAGGAACCCAAATTGTGAGATGGAATCAACTTAATCTCCCACCTTTTAGTAGGTAAGATTTGACTCTACACTTGGGATTCAGAAGAGCTCATCTAGTAGAAGAGTCAAAAGTTGGTTTCTTTGATTGCCTTTCTCTCTGAATCCTACCCTGTTGCTATATATATTGTTTAGGACAGGGGTGTCAAACTTGCCACGTCATGTGACGTGTCGTGATGAATCGCGACTTTTCCCCCCTTGCCGGAGCTGGGGTGGGCGCGGCTTCTGTGTGACGTATCTGGCCGACAATTTGACACCCCTGGTTTAGGAGTTGGCAACTGCAAGAGAATTTGGAGAAATTTGCTATCCAGTTCCCTTCCTCTATTGGGAAACCTCTGCTAGACCTTAGTGCTTTTCATGGGCAAGTCCTGATCCAACCTTAAGGCTATAATCTTATTAAAAAGGGCTGTCTGCATGAACTACATAAAATTCAGAGGCACCAACCACAGGGCTCAGTTCACCATCCCTACAACCTTTCAGGTGGCTGTAACACCTATCAACATTTACAAATGACCTTACTACTCACCTGGCTCAGCAAAGATTATGAGTCCATGCTTCAATGCTGATTTCTCTATTTTTCTTTTCAGTCACCACTGTAGATTCATCAGATTAAATTGCAAACATCCTACACTAGCACAGAAAAAGACTCATCCCAAATGGAGTGAGGCTGCATTAAAGTCAAAAACAGTGTCAATTCCAGAATGATGCTCTACTACGGTTGTAGGTCTGCACAGGTTGGGGGCAAGGCATTATTTCAGATTGGTACATTTGGGCTAGATATTGAAGAGGCAGTAAGACACTGACAGGTGTTAGCACAGGCACACTAGAGGCAGAGTTTATTACACTATGCAGCTAACAACCCTGGAGAAGAAAAACCTCTGTTGTTAAGAATATCAACAGCTCCATATTTAGAAAAAAAATATCATTGTTAACCCATTCTCCTTTGGTCATTACAAAGCAAAAGATATATTTAAGGTATTTTTTACAGAGTGAGAAGCTGGAAGAAAATAACCTTCTATCTGTCTTTCCCCAGTGGGGGGGGGGCAGATCTCAACCTGGCTCACACGTACGTTTCTTTAGCTGTCAAAAGCAGCAGAACGTCAAATTTTCTAATGTCAAAATGATGGTGTAAATTATTTCCAATAAAAGCAGCATTTACCAAAAGCTGCATTTCTGACCCCTCTCTTGGGACGCCAATTGTGGCTCCTCCCGTCTGCCCTCTCAATGTAAAAGGGGTTGAGTGTGTGCGAGTGTGCAGTTTCTCCTGCCAGTGCAGTCACATGACATGGCTGGCCAGGCCATATAGTCTCTGATCCCTCGTTTGTATGCAGCAGTCTTTAAAAAAAATATTGTATTATAATAGGAAATTCTCTTTCCATCTCTGTATTTTGGATAAATGTCAATCGTCCGTAAGGTCTTGCACAAAGAGAACTTCCGTGTGGCTGAGTCCGGCTTCTTGGAGCGTGGGTGGATTAGGCCATTCCTCTGTAGGAAGGCAGGGCAGGACACGGCGGGGAAAATTGGCCTCAATCTGGAACTTTTCCGGACTCTCTTTCAAAGAGAATAGGAAATCATGGATCACCTGGGAAAATTATACAAAATGTCTGTCAAAAGATTTGTATACGAAGTATAATAATGAACAAATGCTCACATCACAACAATACCACTGAAGACTGCTACCATGCAATGAGTAGGAAACTTTAAATGTCAAGGTAGAGACCTACAAGAAATCACACTGTTTGTTAAATAAAACATTCCTACGAGCCGTAAATCATTCCTTGGTTTAACAAAAAAGCTACTGGCTCAGATCTAGACTTCGGTGAACAAAACTCCACTAACAAATAATGGTAGCTGCTGCTGGAGAAAAAGGGAAGTATTCCCCCCCCCCATTTACTCTTCCTTCTTTCTACCATCCCCTGAAAATTCCTCCAAATATTTGGAGATGGTGGTACAGCACAAAGGTGGCATAAAAGATATTCCATATATCAATCTATTTGCTTCCTTGGGAGCTTGAATAGTACAATAGAATAAACACTGGATGTCCATGTGGGAAACTGAGGTATAATTCCCTAATAAGTGTCTCTTCACAGCTTAACCTACAGGGCACAATTCTAGGTCAGATGAGAACTGTACCCTCAGAAGCCCTGTTAAAAAAAAAAAGGTAAGGACAGCATTATGCTTTGCTTCACACTTTCTCTGAGCCCCACAATTTCCACACTGCTGTTTTAGCTTGCTCTGTGTGGTAGCTTAAGGGTGCACATTTTTGAAGATCAACCATATAAAAACATTCATCACCCATAAGATTAGGATTCCCCCCCCTTCCTTTTCTTACAGTTAAAGACTGCGTAAAGTGAAATCTCCTTTCCACCCTGGAATCATTGGGCATCTTGAAGATGATCTTAACGCTTTCAGGATCATCCGGATGTGGCTCGGGGGGAAGGCATTCAGATTTCCGTTCCTTCTCCTCTTGCAAATTCTGGAGGGTTAATTGGAGAGATCAATAACAAGCAGCAATTCAAAGAACATAGCAAAATCTAAACCTAAATGCAGGGATCAGAGCAATGTAGCGGCAGTCATCAGATTTAAACAGATTCTCAAGTCCCGATCCCTCTAGACGAGAAGCTCCCAAGCTTTGCTGGTTCATGGTGCCCTGGGCATCTCAGTAATGTTTCTAAGACACCTCTGGAGCAGTGTTTCTCAACCTTGACAATTTTAAGGCATGTGGACTTCAACTCCCAGAATTCCACAGCCAGCAATGCTGGCTGTGGAATTCTGGGAGTTGAAGTCCACATGCCTTAAAATTGTCAAGGTTGAGAAACACTGCTCCAGAGGTTCCTAAACTCTGCATCCAGATGGTGAGGCACCAAAGCAAGTTCACTAATGGTTCTGTTTAGTAAGTAGTAAAATATCCCGTTTGGAATAGCTTGGAAACGGCAGCTCTAGATACCAGACGAGGATTCAAATGTGGAAATGCAACATTTCAGCAAGAGATTTTAACAATAACAAGTCATAATCAATCAATCCAGGGTCAAACGCCTTAATAATCAAATTTGCCAGGCATTAAAATCTGCAGTTAAATTTTTCCAATAGATATAATGCAGGGGTCCTCAACCTTGGCAACTTTAAGACTTGTGGACTTCAGCTCCCAGAATTCCTCAGCCAGCAAAGTTGCCAAGGTTGAGGACACCTGATATAATGGAACTCTGTTAAACGTTCTACTGCAGAGGACTTTAGCAAACTTCTAGAAGAAAGTGTAATATACACACCAGTTCCTGCTCCTCTCTCTCCTTAGCTAAAAATAAATTTGAAGAATTTGAATCATTCCAAATATAAATATATCAGAGCTTGACACATTATCACATCAGACTACAGGTAGTGTTTTTAATCTTTATGAATTAATCTATTATATATTAGAAGTTTTTATACACTGTTTCGCATTACAAAAAAAAAATTCAAAGCTGAGTGAAGTACAGATTTAAACATCTGACTCCTAACTCATTTCCATCTTGCACGCTGAAGCTTGATGGTAATTCAGCCTAGTACAGTATTCCTTAAACTTTATGCTCAGGAGCCCCCCCCCTTTAAAAATTATGGAGGACCCCAAAACAGCTTTTATTCATATAGATTATATTTATTTACTGACATTCACCAGATTAAAAAGTAAAATTGGTGCATCTGTAGATATTTGTTGAATTAGGTAAAAATAACAATATTAAAGCCCATTAGATATTAACATGCATATTTTCCTTGAAATTTTTTTTAACGAATCAAAGTAATAATGGGAGAAGCGAAACTATGCCAAATTTTTGCAAACATGTTCAATATGTGGCAAAAAAAAAATGTAGATTTTGTGTCCTGTAGGGAGGAGTTGGGGAACTCCCAGGGGTGCTCAGACCACATTTTAAGACTCTGGTCAATTAAATAGGCTAATCAACTAGGAAAGCTATATCCTCTACCCCACAATTTACAAAAAGCCTTTTTACTGGAAAACAGCTAGGCTCCTAAGCCAACAAGTATCCCTTCTTACCTGCTGCCTTCTCTCCTCTGCCAGCTTCTGCTGTTGCACCTCTTCCTCCTTCCTCCTCTTCTTGTCTCGCTCTTCCTTTTTCTTCCGTTCTTTCTCCTGATCTGCCCGTAAGGAAGCGAGGTATGCCTCATCCTGTTGCTGCCTCAGGACCTGAGTTTGGTTTCGTTCTTCTCTAATATAAAAAAGGAAAATTTGTTCTAATTAACCAGGGTTTTTTCTGACTTTTTAAAGTAAGAAGATGCGTTTAGAATTAGGACCATTGATCACTTTTCTATCACAGCTTGAGTATATATATGGCTGCCCTAGACAGCAGTATCTCCCAAAAATGCTTTTTCTAAAAAGGCAACTGGATTTTCTTGATTATTTCTTTGAAAATGTTTTGCTTCTCATCCAAGAAGCTCCTTCAGTTCAGTTCAAGCAAGTCCAGTTGCCTTTTGGAAAAAGCACATTTGGAACAATCATGACTTGGATAATGGAGACTCTCCATACACATTTGGACAACAGCATTTTCAAACTAGTAGCAGCAACTTTCTTTCCCATTAAAAATGAAAAGCACTCCAAAAAGAGGTGAACATTTCAAACCTGTAATCTAGATATATGAAAGATAAAGAACCTATCAAGAGGAGGAGTACTTTTTTCTTCTTTTCAAGCAAAGACGTATTTTGTCCATATCTAAATGCACAAGTTGCCGAGTCTACAATTAGTTTAGTCTAAAACTAAATGTAGTTCCACAGAATCTAAGATCCCACTGGATCTGACCCCTGGAGCCTACCTTTGAGGCTGAGGAAGAGCTTAAAAGTATGAGAAGGGGTATATAACTTTTCAACAGCAGAAGGCAAGATTGTGATTTCCACGGTTAGGGTGATAAATGTCAAAATTTAATGGTGGATTGTAGCCCACATATTTTCAATTTGGTGTAAATTTACCATAGCAATAAATCATACTACTGGTTCTTTCTGCTATGCTGCCAAAAAAATTCTTTTAATCTTTTACATCCTACCTCCTGTAGAATTCCTGATCATAGCATATAATCTACCAGTAATGTGCATAGCTATTAATTTGGTCATGAAGTAAATAAATAAAAGTTGAATAGTGTACACTTCTGATATCATGAGGCATGATATCTCACTGAGCAAGGTCCTCACTGAGCAAGGTCCTCAGACTACACAATGCCTGAGTTCATACAACACTTCACATAATTTGCAAGTTTTCTTATACTGTGCAGAGCGAATCCAATTCACCAGATTATGATTTACTACTTAGTGTGTTGTATGTATCAATCAAACTGTGTCTTATTAAGCAATCTAAACTTAAAACAACCATAAGCCACAATGTGATGCATGAATCTAGTTAATCTCAGTTTTTAGGCAACTGAGAACAACTAAATCATAAAAGGATGTAATATGAAAAGAGCAAACTGCCTTGAGTTTTTGATGAGATATGTTATTTGTTAGAAACATTATAACCATCATCCTCCATTTTTTATTCAATATTAAAAAAAATTGGAATAAAACAAAGGAACAAAATGGTGTTATTTTCTGCTTAATACCTTTCCAGACGCTCAGATACCAGGTATGTCTGATTGGAATCCATAATGAATGTCAACTGGTTAATAAAGTCATCAGGTTGGATAAGTCCTTCTAACCTTCCAACCACAGTCATTCTACGATCTTTCAGCATGATCACTGCCAAGAAAGGGTAGGTGTTCTCACGCAAAGCCTGAGACACTGAGAAAAATAAAGCACTGTCACTATTTGCAGCTTTAGAATGGAAGCCAATATTTAACATTCGAATGCTGAAACTGAACTACATTATTTGGTCTCTCAATTCTTATTAATAGCCGCTCTGGCAGTTTTCAGAGAAAAGCATTTCCTATTTCTGTTGTTATAATTTTCTGGTAATTCAAGATGACAAAAGAGTTTCAGGTGTGAGCTTTATTCAAATATTCTTTATCACAAAGCTATGATTTTATTCCATAATGGACTGTAAAAAAAAACAACCTTGTTCAAGCCCCCACATTTATTTCAACTCTATGATGGAACTGTTTTTTCATTCTAATCTAAAAGTACAATAGAACAATACAATTTATATCAAACAATGCAAAATAAAAAATGTAGTCTCAAAAAGTAAGAATTTCGTAATTTGGATGTCAAAATCTGATTTCTCATGGCAAACAACCTGTACTTCAATGAGCTGTGAAACTCATAGTAGAACTTTCCCAAAAGATCCAAGGCCTGATAGGAACATACAAAAATGGCAGATGGATATTTAATTATCTGACTCTTAAAACCTATTTTCAAAAAACAATAATCAGAAGCCATAACAAATTCCTGCCATATTATGGATTCCAATATTCGTCAAAGACAGACTTAAATAAAAGTTGCTGTAATACCAATCTTTTGGATAACATTCTGCTCATGCTTAGAAAACCTGATTTATTCAACACATTTTTGGCAAAGCTTCATCTGATAATCCAGAATCATTATTGATATGCAACTTCATTTTTTAAAAAAAGAAAGACAACTTTATTATCAATATTACCTACTAGATTTAATCATATACTCAATGTGAATTCCAAATGAGATTGTTCCATGACTTCCTTCATGAAGTCACTGTATTATTGGAAATTTTATTCAATGAGTTTCCAAATTATCCTCAATATGGACTTTCCTTTTTTGATTTGACCCTGCCTTTCACTATAATCCAAAATACATTTCCTTTGTTAATTACTGCATACTTGACCTGTCTATGTGTTAAGGTTTCTACCTAAAAATCTGGAAGCATGATTTACAGACCCTTACAAGCCCTTTCTTTTTTAAGCTAGTTATTCCTAGTTCTAAATTGTGTGTGGATTAATTAAAAATCTCCGGTAATAATATAAAGTTTTACAACTACCCATTATTTATACACTTTTATTGTCAGAAATGACCATGGAACTCCATTCAATTATGTTTATCCACATCAGTTGTAAATGCTTCACAGTCCAAGAATAGCTTTTTCTAAATTGCCTAGTTTCCTATTGAAGGTTTAACATTTCTAAATAACTTTAAAAGTTTTAAAAAATGTAGAACATGCCAACATTTAATGGGATTTCTTTCCCAGGAAATATATATAACACAGCAGCTAAGACTATTTCGGTGCACTTTTACTCTGGCATAAGTGCCAATGAATACTTTCAACGTTGCTTCTGAATAATAAAGGCCAGATATGTTACAAGAAGACATACCTCTGTATCCTTCTGGTTTATTGGTAGAACATGCCCAGAAGAGCATCCTGGTGTTTAAGAGGGAAATTACTTCTGGTGCACAGAGTGTGCTGCTATAAGAAGAGGATAATAAACAATATACTTGAAGTCACATACAAAACATTCATTTATTTGATACATTTATATCCAGCCTTTTATTCAGGAGTTCACAGCAGTGTTTATAGTGCGTCCTCCTTTCTTTTCCCCCCCATAACAACAAGGTTGTAAGGCAAGATTAAGCTGATGATTCCCGTGACTGACTTACATGCAGATAATTTGCTAACTTACTAGCACCTACCGACAAAATTCATCAGTATCTTGATGATCATCACCATGCAGGTAAACAAGCAGGAAGCGCAACTCCCTCTTGGCGTCATTCAGGGCCTTGAAAGACAGCATTAAAAAATGGGATTAGAGATATACAAAAAGGTCCAATTTGCAGAACACACAGGCAACAGGAGAAAAGCTTGGGACATAAGCAACTGAGGCAGGAAAGGGGAGGCAAGAGGGAGGGGAGGACGGGAATACACCATTTGGGGAGGAATGGAGAAAGGGTAGAGGGCTGCTTTAGCACAAATAGGCCTAAACCTGAATACAGGTAGTCCTCAACTTACGACCGCAATTGAGCCCAAAATGTCTGCTGCTAAGCGAATCTTGCCTCATTTTATGACCTTGCCAAAGTTGTTAAGTGAATTACTGCAGGTTGCAAAAGGTGATCACATGACCCCGGGACACTGCAACCATCATAAACATGAGTCAGTTGCCAAGCATCCAAATTTTGATCACATGACCATGGGGATGCTGGCAATGGACTCATATTTTTGATGGTTGCAATGTCCCAGGGTCACGTGATCACCTTTTGCGACCTCCTGTCAAGCAAAGTCAATGGGGAAACCAGATTCACTTAACAACCGTGTTACTAACTTACCACTGCAGTGATTAACTTAACAATTGTGGCAAGATAAGTGTGGTAAGTGTGAAAAATGGTCATAAGTCACTTTTCTCAGTGCCATTGCAACTTTGCAAACTGTATGGCCTTTGCGAGAATTTATTCATGAGGATTAATGTGGATTTCTGTCTAAAAGACAATTGAAGGATGTCAGAACTGTGTTGGATACCTTGGTATATTTGGAACAATTGTTTGTTTCACTGATTTTATGCTTCTGAACAATGCAAAACTGAGTTTGAAACAGAACTGTGTACAAACGGTTAACTTGTAATTGCTAACATGTATAAACTTTCACTGAATTTTTAGACAGAAGCACGTGAAAGAATATGATAAAATGGGCTAAAAATTTTGGTTATGATATACAAACGAAACAGTGAGAAAATATGCGGCTGAAAGAGTTGTAATTTATATTCTGTTCTAGTCTTCTTCTTTTTTAAAAAAATAAAATGATATACCATTGTGTATGACACCAGAGAAACCAAAATGTATAAAGATATTTTGACTTTATGCTGGAACATAAACATCATGGAGAGATGTTTTATCATATTTGGTGGGTGTAAAAAGCCAAACATTTTTGAATTCAAATACATGAACTAATTCAGAAGACTTTAATGACTACAAATCATCCTTGGCTTACAACCACAACTGGGATCAAGTGATGCAATCATTAAGCAGGTCACACCTGATTTTACAACCTTTTATGTCATGGTCATTAAGCGAATCATGTGACCATTAAATGAATCTAGCTTCCCACATTGGCTTTCCTTGTTGGAAAATCCTTCCGAAGGTTGCAAATGGTGATCATTTGTCCTTGGGATGCTAAATACATGTTGGTTGCCAAGCACTCAAAGGCTGATCACATGACCATGGGATGCCGCAATGTTAAGTGTGAGGACTGGTTATAACTTTTTTCAGAATTTTCATAACTTTGAGCAGCAGTTACATGAATGGTTGTAAGTTTAGAACTACCTGTAATGTACAATTAAAACCAGAGAATTTTCTTTTTCGGTTAATGGACAGTTGGGAAAAAAAAGTCATGAAACATTATTTTTATATTAGAGAACTGCAGCAAGAGGATGACATGTACAAAAATGGGAAGATACAGTGTTACCCACAATGGAGGAATGGTTGGTGAAGATGACAGAACATGCAGAGATGGCTAACTTCACTTTTTAAATTAGAGATTTTCATTTACTGCTGACTGGAAACACCTTATAGACTTTTTGTATGAAAAAAGAAAAAAATGAACTTTTGATTTGTGGTTTTGATGATTAGAAAATATTAGATAGCAGAAAAAAGAGAGCTTCTTTTGTAACTGCAGAGATAATTTTGTAATCATTTTTGTATTTGCTGCAAGGAAATTGGAAGCTTCGTCTTTCTATTTCTTTTTAATCTTTCCTTTTTGCACCTTTGTCCTTCCTTTCTTTCTCCTTTGCCTTTCTTTTTTTTACTTTGTATTATTTTTTGTTAGCTTTTATCTTCTCTTTTAAACTTTTAATAAAAAAATTATATAAAAATTAAATGGATACGATCTTCAGCCAAGGGTCTTCCAACAAACCAAACAAAGAAGCCCATTACAAGATAGTATTCTGTAATCACGCTTAAATTTATATTTAAGAAATTTTATACTTATATCTGTTATAAAAGGAAGTTGGCAATCATTTATTTGTATTTCTTTTTCTTTCTGAACTCTTGGCTTTACTTTTTTCATTCTTTACTATTTTCTCCCTTCTATCTTCTTCATTAGTTTTGTTAAGTTTTTTAATAGTTATTTTTAAAAATATTGCATTTTAATGAAAATGCAATTACTATCTAATCACAAGTAATACTATCAGAATATCAAATTACATATTTAAATTTTACCAGTATTATTTTTGTAAAGAAAAGAAATTGCAGTTGTACTTCAAAGGAAAGCTTAAGTGTGGCTTTCTAAGAGATATAACAAAACAGGATTAGAATAATTCCATTTATCTGAGTCAACATTTCTACCAACCTGGCTGTATGTTCCCTGATAGAAGACAGGATGTATTCTTCCATATTTTTCTTCAAACATATGAATAAATGAAACAATGTCACCTACAGGGTCAGTGACCCGACTACGAGGATCAGGACGGATAAAACGCAAAGCAAACCTGAGAGAAAACAGGATCAAAATGTTTGATTACTAGTTATCTAAGAATCTGAAGATGTGAATGGACTGACTACGGTCTTAAATCCTCTAAGCTAATTCCTCCATGATCAGCTACAAAGCTTGATTTAAGTTTGCAAAACACAAATATGCATTAGGAATCAATCAGTACTGATGACTTATTATTATATTACTATTATATTTTTATGCTGAAAATGGCAAGAAATGCCTTATTGAATTAAAACACAATTCATTAGCCTTAACATTTTTAAATAATTTGTAATGCACCGTAGTTATTGGGTAGCTTATCAGAAATTTGGCACTTATCCATTAATAACCCAATCTTATTTGTGTGATAGTGTGTTTATGCATGCATGCCCGTGTATGTGACATATTAAACTAATTAACAAAAATAAAGGTGAGAATAAACTATAAGGTTAATATAAACAAATATGAACTCAGCTGGACTTACCTAAATATATCAAGTAATGTGTAATATGTAAATCGGAATGGAAGCATTATCAAATAGTAACCCCAACCTAATAAACCCTGAAACAAATAGAAAGTAATTATCAGTATATTCTTTTTACACTCATATTAATGTAGTTTCAAGTAGTTATATTAGTGAAAAATTAACAGAATCAGGAAAATTGCTGTCATTAAGACCACTAACAAGACATCTATAACTAATGCTCCTCTATACTCTTTCTCCTCCAGTGTGGAAGATATTATAGTATAACAATGACACAAATTTTGGAATTTCATTTAAAAAAAAACGGAAACAAGGACATTTATTAGCTTTTAGGGGATTACTGAACATTTAAAACAGCTATTTAAAATGATCAATGGCTAGTTCATGTGACATTTTCATTTTACAAAGAAAATAAAACACTTCATGAACATATCAAAAAAAATAGCATATAACAAAGGTGGGTACCTTTTGTGCTAGAACAGCTTCACTATTTTGATTGGTAGATGTGAAATGTGTTGCTACACAAAATAAATAAGTTAAGCCTCACAGAAGCTTCTAATATACCTATTTTATGAACTAAATTGGCAAAAATAAGCCAAATATGTCCTAGTGGAAATAGAACTTCTATGTTTACGATTTACAGTAATGTAACAAAAGAAAGCATGCCAATTGTAGACACTTACAAACCAAGCCTTCTATACAAAGAGATTCCCAGTGATTCAAGCAGAGGACATGCAGCACATGAACAATCCATAACACAAAATAACACAAAAGGAAAGAACTTTCCTTCTGTTGGTCCTTTTCATATTAGCAACAAAGGACACCACTCTTTTCAAGCACATTCAAATAAAATAACCTGCCCTTGGCTGTGGCCTTGAAACAACATAGCTGTAGATTCTGTGATCCGCAGTGTTGACCTGCAAGGGCCGAGAAGGTGGTGGGTTGAAGACACTTGGGACTCCCTCTTGTTCATTTAATCGGTCCTGAACAGCTGCCTACAGAAGGAGACCCACAATATATTATGCTCCTATTGCAGAAAATATACTATTTTGAATACAGAAGGAGGAACAATGGACATAGACCTATTGACAGCTTGCAGTCTGAATTACATTATTAAAAAGTTTAAATAAATAGTATCTTCTTTACTAAATGTTCTTGTAATTTGAAATGCTAAGGAATAGTTAGAAACAATCAAGATGACATACATGTAAATCTTCCCAGTTTCATTCCCATGAAAATAAGCTTTGAATGAATTAAACTGAAGGACAGTAAATGGTTCAAAGCCACCTGCTCCAAGGATGAGTCAGATTTGAATCTAGGTGCCATTCCTTATCCAACACATTAACCGCTTCATTGACTTTAGAACTTGAAAATTTCAGAAATCTAGCTTCTTATATATTTCAGTTTTCAATTAAAGAACACGGTATTTTTCTAGCTCTTATAAATAAATAAGGTATATTTGAAATTTGTACAGATCTTATATGTGAATAAATTATATTTGTAATAGTCAGAGGCAGACCATGCAATTTTGGGCTGAATTCCATGCTTCTCCCTCCAATTATGAAAATTCTGCATAGCGAAACAAAGCAGAATTATGCAAAATAAAGAAAATATGAGTAGTTATGCTTAATATACTTATAACATGTGCAATAACTTTGTTTTAGTACTAAGCATATCTGATTATAAGATGCTTTAAAGAAGGAACTCGTATCAATGTCTTTCACAGATCTAAGACTACAATCAGTGCAATTAGAAAGCAGAGCCAAATGGCACAATACCTCTATATTCCAGTTGTGTTGCTCCAGTGTATGACGACATTGGTCCATGGACTCTATGCCAGTCAAATCCTAAGGCCAAAGAAAGTGGGGAAAACAGATGTCACAGAAGGCACATTTCCTGAATTAATTAACATTTATTTTTAGTTACTTATCTTAATAATTCAGACATCAGCAAAGCATTTGCAAACTTTATCCCAACATAACCAATAATTAAGCAATGCTGGATTCTAAACAGGGCACAAACAAACTTTACCTTTAATGCTTACCTTTATTTAAAAAAACCTTTTGATTCTTAAAAAACCTTGCAGAAAACCTGAATATTGTTTCTTAGATTACTATTAGTTGGAAAAAAGCCAGCTCACCCAAAATGAAAATAGGGTGCCTAATTGTTGAAATGCTTTGTGGTAATTCCTCTTGTACCAGTGATAGTTTCAATGAATCATGAGTTATTCCCCCTTTGGCATCAATGTGCATCAAAACTCTTCTCTCCTTTATGTTTAGCTATATTAGTTATTCATCCATTCTCAGATGTACTATTAAAAATTGATGATAAAGGGCAGTACACATTAGACACCAATTAGTTTACAAATACCCAATTAGATGGTAATGTCTAACTCAGAGGTCCCCAACCTTTTGAGCATCAAGGATCGGTTCTGTGGAGAGAGGTTTTTCTGCAGACTGGAGGGGGCGTGGTTTCATGTACTGCCTGCATCCTGCGGATGGGGCTTTGCTTGTTTGTGTGTTGCTGGCATGCCCCGGCCCGGTGCCGGTCCATGGACTGGGAATAGGGGACCCCTGGTCTAACTCAACAGTTCCCACACTTTTAGGTACCAGCGACCGGTTTTGTGGAAGATAATTTTTCCACAGATCAAGGAGAGGGGGAGCGCGCAACCTAGATTTCTTGCATGCACAGTTTACAGTAGGATTCATGTTCCTATGCTTGATGCTCAGAAGTGGGCCAGAGGCGGTGATGCTAGCACTGGGGAGTGGCTGCAAATACAGATGAAGCTTCAGTCACTTGGCCGCTGCTCACCTCCAGCTATACGACCCGATTCCTAACAGGCCAATGGTCTAAATGACATTGACTGATTTTAAAAAAATTAAGAATCATCTCTCATTAATAATTGGATGGGAGACTAACAGAATTTTTCAAGAGCTATAGTGTAGACTGGGAATTTGAAAAACAACTTAGAAGAAGGCAGTGCCAAGTAATTGCCATGTCGTTGCTGAGAAAATTACATAAACCTGTACATAAATTCACCAGGAGTTGAATTAAACTCAAATAAGGCTTTATTCTATTACTTCTGTAAGTAGTAATTGGGTGGTAATAAATGCTAGGCAAAATGAAACTTCTTAAATCATAACTATAAAAGTTGGGTTCTTAGAACACAATGAGCAAAAACTAAATAAGCTATCCAACCTCTCGCCAAAACTAGCTCAGTCATTAATATTTTCCACCACTCTTTTGCCTCAATAAGGCAATGTTCAACAAAAAGTTATTTTTCCATAGAATCAGAAAATAAGGATCGAAAGGAAACTCGGGGATCATCTGGTTCAACCCTCTGCCCCTACAGCAGTGATGGCGAACCTTTTAGAGACCGAGTGCCCAAACTGCAACCCAAAACCCACTTATGCATCGTCGGGTGCCAGGTGGGTGTGGCCCATTGGGTGGGTGTGGCTCATTGGGTGGGCGTGGCTGCGGTGGTAACAGCAGACTGGGTGGGACTAAAAAGTTCAATCAATCAATTCCAACTTTGCAAGATCTTTTTTTCCCAAGAGAAGTTGAAATTGATTGATTGAACCCTTTTTTTTTTGCACACGGCGGCGGAGGCCTAAAGTGAAAAGGTTTTATAAAACCCAGCTGAAGGCCTAGGACTGGGGTGACGGCGCGCGTGCCCACAGAGAGGGCTTTGAGTGCCGCCTCTGGCACCCGTGCCATAGGTTCGCCACCACTGCCCTACAGGAATCCAAAGCTATGCATCCCTGACAAATGGTAATCCAACCTCTCTTGTGAAAGAAGAATCTGCCTCCAACCAAGGCAGTCTGTTCCATTGTAGAGCACCTCTTATTCTTATGATTTCTTCCTGGATGTCCAACCAAAGGTACTTCTGAACAATTTAAAACTATTGTTCTTTTCCTATTTTCAGGAATAATTTTGAACAATCCTGCCCTGTCTTCCAGATAATGGCCCTTTAAATACTTGAAGACAGCTATTAAGTATTGCTTCAGTCCAAACTAAGTATACCCAATGTTTCCAATGACTCCTCCTTCTTTTCAAGACCCTTGGTCTTGGTTGTTCCTCTCAGTACATGCTGCAATTTGTCAGTGTTCTTCCTAAGCCATGGTGTCTAGAATTGGATGAAATATTCTGAGTGCTGTCTGACCAATGCAGAATATAGAGAAATGATGTTTCTTGATCTTGATCTAATGTCCCTAACCCTAATGTTCAGCTTCTAATCCATCAAGACACCTATATATTTTTTGCATGAACTGCTCTCTAGTATGATTTGTCCACCTCTAAAACTATACTCCTGTCTTAAATTTTTTTGTGACTAAATGTAGAATGTTTGTCCCTATTAGGTACAATTTCAGGCTTAGTCATCAGCTTGCGGGACCGGAGATATTCTAAGATGGTTCTGTTTTAATTCCTTCTCTTCTCTACCTGATAGTTTGTATTTTTTTTAAGAATAATTGCTTTATATTTTTATCAATGATTTTTATGTATTAGTTTCATTTTACTGTTGTAAGCCACCCACATTGTGTGAGATGGGTTGCTATATAAATTGGATAAATATTAATTTTAACAATGCCCATTTTTCCAATTTGTCAACATTCTGTTGAATCTTGATACTATCCTCTAAAGCAGACATGTCAAACTTGCGATGTCACGTGACGTTGCACAACATATCGGGCTGGTTTTGCCATTGCTGGCAATGGGGTGGGCGCAGCTTCCAGAGGACGTGTCCAGCCTACGGGCCGGCAGTTTGACACCCCTGCTCTAAAGGCTTTGTTATCACCTCTATCTTTGTGTCATGTACACATTTCTAAATATGTTCCACATGAAATATACCACTTGACATTTTTCTCCACATTGTCATTAAGACATAATGACATACAATTATTGTGCACTATTTTTGAACCAGCTCTGTGACCATTTTTAATTTTTTTAAGTCTTCTTTACTAGAATCTTATAGGAGACTTTGCTGTAGTCAAGGTACAGCAAATGTGCACCAAATTTTCATGGTCAACTAAACAATCATTCTGTTAGCACAGTTCTTCCCCCTATGTACTAATAACACTTATTTGTCACGCAATATGTTTGTAATTATGCTCGTTATTAGCCATTCAAATAACCAATATACAATTTATTTAATGATAAGATTTTAATATCTACCAGTCTTCAAAATGTTTTATTCCTTTTCTAAATAAAAAAAAAACCACTTTTTAAAAAAAATTGGTTTATTCTAGGTACTGGAATTGACTACAATTTATATTTTATGAACTCACTCACTGCATATTACATATCTAATCCATAACTGAGAATTTTATACTGTTTAGAACTTATGTTCAGTATCCTGTGCTGGATAAAAAAACAGTTTGATTTCAAGCTGCTATATAAATATACTGTATTCAGAAATGCGTGTTTGCATTTTATGATTGAACATAAATAGTAAAGCACTATACCCATTAATTCTTTCTCTTTTATCCAGGATGACTTCCTCACATACATCACCTGTACTATATTTTCAAGTCCTTATCATTTGTCCTCTGATATTATTATTATTTGATATCATTATTTCTGTTTTCATACTTTTTACATGCTGATTTATTTAACAATCTCCACATCTCATATTACTATTTAAATTGTCTAGTTTACTACCACTACATGAATTTTTATATTGCAACTTCTGGAATTCCCAATTAACTACCACTTCCATCATCGAAAGAATAATATTTTACCTAAGAGAAGAAACTCACTAGGTATTTTCTCAGGAATATACTGTTCTATCCTCAGTGGCATACTACACTGAGAGAATGTACGCAAACATATTGAAATCATTCAAGAAGAGGCGTCAGGCATTCCAGTTAGCCTGTTAAGCTGGTATTCCTGGTCTTGTTTTATCTCTTTTCAAACTTAAAATCTGTTGAATATGTAGAAGCTCTGCAAACCAAAGGATTACCTAAGCAGAATTTTACAATAACATTAGCGTATGAAGTTTTTAACAGAACCTCAGTTCTCTCTCTCAATACTAAACGTATCTTACAACCCCCTCCCCGAAATAAGATTTCAATTAAGCTAAAACAAAATCTGTAAACATCCTCCTAAATCATATACTTGATTGGACAAATGTATCTAATATTTCTTAACATTTCTAGATTCTATTGCCCTTTTCCATGTAGCCTGCCTGCTATAACTTTCTTTATTAAACAGGGTGGATTTGATTTAAATCAAGTCGATTTAAATCACTAGTAAAAAGGCCTGATTTAAATCAATTCGATTTAAATCATAATGTTTAAAGAGCAACTGTCATCTCTGTCCCGCAGCGGCTCCTCCTCTGACCCGCTGTTGACTCACCGACAGTCCCATTCACTTTAATGGGATGGCTGGTGATGCCGCACTGATACAACAAGGTGAGGGACGTGGCGAGTAGCAGGTGAGTGGAGGCCCTAACAGGCGCTGCCATCATGGATCTGAAATGACAGGTGCTTTTTAAATGTAAGGATTCATTCTTGCTGGTAGTTAGAATCTTTAATATTATTATTTGCAAACAAAATGACGGTTTCCTATTTAGAATAAGAAGCTGTGAGGTTAGTAAAACAGCAATATCAGAACTGATTTTCGGTTAATAGGTTACTCACACATACTGTGTTTCCCTGAAAATTAGACCTACAATGAAAATAAGACCTACCCTGATTTTGGGGGGTGGGCCGAATATAAGCCCTACTCCCAAAATAAGCCCTAGTTAGGACCCTGCCCAATCCATCCCACCTTGCTGCTGCAATGGGGCAGGAGTGCGCATGGCAGTCCTGTTTCCTGCCACTTCTCCTCCCAGCGCTGTTGTAGAGTT